CCGACTGCGCAGTCTAGGTAAGATGTAGCAATCGTTGTAATTTGGCGTAAGTCGGGGTCGCGGGACGTCATATGGCCTGTAACCATAATTTTAGCCATCCGCCATGGAATTTACCTTTACTATAAATAATATTTTCATCATCATGTTCATATGAACAGAAAACTATGAATTGAAATCATCAGCTTGCATATTATTATCCCTAATTATATACACTTACCACAACGGCCTTGTACTCCAGACCATGTACCATCTGCTCGACACACTCGTACAGTTGTAACTGCATCTGGCGTTAATGTGTATCCAGAGTGGCATCGATAATCGCATCTTGTACTCACAAGGTATTTGTCTTCTCTGCTACAATCTATATCACCATTGGGTATTCGAGGTAGTCGAGGACAGGGGTTCGCTGTAGAGTTGAAATGATCAAATACAACCAACTTATTGTAGTACGTTATATAGTACGGCAGAAATTGGTAACGACTGATTAGAGAAATGGACTGACATGACCCGAATAGTTGGTTTTGCAAACTTTTTCGGCAATCGGCTGCATTTTAAACAAGTTGCAGCTTGTTTATAATCATCACATGGCAACCAACAAGAAGGCTATTTCAGCAATCCGACCGAGATAGTTAAAAACATAAGGTCAGTAGCCTTTATTTGCGTCTGGGGTAAATAATCGACCTACCTAACCTAATTAAATGCGTTTGCAGCAATAGCCTGTAGCAGTTGATGTATCAAATTGCGCTAGAGTTCTCCCATCCATGGAGCTAAAGTACATGCCTCAACTAATTAGAGTCATCGATGGCGGGGAGAATGGACACAAACGAAAAGTTCAATTTGATTTGAGAAATGCTTTTTTTCAAATGTTGAATCTAAACTCGGTGACAGTGGCGAGATTTAACACTACAACAAGACAATAACTAGTTGAGGACATGGGAAAAACTAAAAGTTTTCATTTTCCCCCACACTTCGATTGCTTTAAAAATACACCCCAGCAGTCTCAAATTTCTTTTCACCACTTCTGCCACTTTCTGTTTCAGTATTTATTTATTTATTTATTTATTTATTTATTTATTTATTTATTTATTTATTTATTTATTTATTTATTTATTTATTTATTTATTTATTTATTTATTTATTTATTTATTTATTTATTTATTTATTTATTTTATCGTGTCTGTCTGGAGCTTGTTCATATTGCCCTGGTCTGAAACCCCTATTTGATTCATGTTCGCACACACAAATTTATGCCGTCCTAAAATTTAGGCAAGCCTAAGCCTTATTTCCAGATGTGAACCCACCAATTGAGAATAACTTACCCCGACACACGGCCTGTTCTTCCGTTGTCCAGCCAGCCCTTCCTAAACACACAGTTCGCCTAGGGCCACTGACGTGCTGATACCCAGCATTGCACACATAGTCGCAATAAGTTCCTTCCTCGATGGGGTCGTCAGGAAAGCACATGATCACTGCATTTGGTGGCGCATGTAGGCGCGGACATTCTCTATTGGCTTCGCCTATGATAACGAATACGTACCAGAAAATGCTCTTTAAGTTTGTCTTAATATTACATACCGGTATTTACTCATTGTATTCTGTAGGGAAAGGTTCGGGTCGTGGAGTAGGGGAGACTAAGACGAGGTGTGTCTAGTTAGAACACAAAGTAGCAACTGATTTAAGGTATAGATGCAGGTTCGTGGGCACTTGAGAGAGAATTTTCTTTTTTTTTGCTTTTTATTATCCAAACAGTCTTGGCTATAGACTGTTAAAATTTCACAGCATTGTGAATAGTGGAACATACTCAAAAGTCGATTTTAAAATATAGAAAACTGGTACAAACATTCTTACTTTTGAATGCTTAGCAAGATTTAGCAAGGCTGTACATAAATAATAAAAAATAAACATGGTGAAAAAAAGTAATGACGGGATCTCCATATTATGCATTATATTTAACTTTTTACAAAACTATAATAGGTTTAAATTTGGAACTGTTACAGCCATTTTAATTATGAGCATTAGCAAACTTCTTACTGAGAGAATGGTTATGCAAATTAACAATTATCTCCACTTGTGTTTTTCAGTTTAGCATGGAAGTTCAAATCTAAATAGCTCCCACAATTCTTGTTTATTTTGAGTGAAACTTTCACACAACGTTTATCAGTTGTTTATTAACAAATGGGCGTCCAGGCGTTTATTTAGTATG